GCACTATGAAAGTTGGAGGTCAAAGTTAAAATTTGAAGCCAAGTTTAAGGTCCAATATATGTATTATCCCATAGTTAAACTATGCTCAATTTTTTTATTGTATCATAATGTATGGTCAGTGTATAACTAATGTATATATAAGCTATATTGTATAATCAGTGTATATTGTTTATGACTTTTGACAAGATATATTGTACAGTAAAAGTCAAAACATTGTGCTTTACCGTACTTCCAATCTATAAATGGAAGAACGAGTTTGCCTGCAATTCTGCCCATCCAGAAAATTAAAACAAGAACAAATTTAAAACAACAAGCAGACAATAATTTTGGGAGATAAATATATGTGCATAATGTATAAGAATTTTCAAATTATAATTCTAACTCCTTTTGCTACTATCACTTTTCTTAGTTCCATACAATCAGGGTTTGTAATGAAAACTGAAAATGGACTGACATAACAAGGCGATATCAATGAAGTGGGTTGAGAATCATAACATCGTAAGAATACTACTCTTTATGTTTTAATTTATTTGTGTTAGTTTGACTAGACAGACATCTTAAGAAAATTATTAAATAAGACTTTTAAATCTTAATATTTAACCTAAAAGTATATATAATTTACTAAAATACATTTTAATATTATGGTCTTAATCATGTCACGTACAATATTGAAATTCAAAAGTTACCAAATTAGGAAAGATGTACGTCTTTTAAATAGGCTAAAAATGAGAGTACTGATTTCTTCACATATGTTTAAAGAGTTATAATCCGATACCTATATTGATGAGTGTTATGCATAATTATTGGGGGCAGAACAGACGGTTCATAAGGTTTAACTTTAAGCACACCATTTTTCTTCAATTGTTTCCCGTTGCAGTATATATAAATGCATTCTTTAACTTTGCCTCAATTGATATTTATGATTTTTAATTTTGGATGTGTACTAATAGGCATTTAAAATTATATGAAGTTGAACAAGTAAACACATTGGCCCTACATGACATCATATGTGTCAATTCACATTTTATGTGACGTCCTACATGTATTATGACACGTAGAACAAAAATGTCTACTTGTTCAATTTTATATAAGTTTAACCTACTTGTGCACACCCAAACTTGGAGGGCATAAATGCTAGTTGAGGTCAAGTTTAAGGGTATGTTGACCACTTGACCTCAATTGATATTTATGCTCTTTAACTTTGATTGTGCATGATTAGACACTTAAACTTGTATAAAATTAAACAAATAACACACGAGTCTTATATATATGGCAGAATACACATAGAATGCCACATAAAACACAAAATTACCATATAAGATGCCATGTAGGACGAATTTTGCATTAACAATCCTATTATTTGATGTTATAATTTATGTGTCCTTGAACCATATTAACAAACTCAATCGTTATTCTAAACACGTTCTCTCAAAGGCAACTCTTGTTATTGACTTTATTGATTTGTGAAACAAGAATCTTATGGAAGGTTATATATATATATTATAAAATAAAAATTCTGCAATGACATTTTCCAAGAATCAGGTACAAAATTTCGTACTGATCATTACATATATTTTTTTTAATATCATATATATGCACAAGTTAGGCATCATCAATATACAAACGAGTGAAGTCAAAATCACAAAGAATATTCTATTTAATTTTGACTTCTGTCATATTTTAAAGTGAGCTATTTCCACACAATTTTTTTTTTTTAGAAAAATCAAAACAGCTGTATACATCTAATATACTTTTTCAAAATAAACAACTGTTTTGAAAAGTATGTGTTTGTCATCTTACAAAGTACCGTCATTCTTCCATCATCGATGAGTTTTGAATTACATTGAATCGTGACAACAAGTTAATTAATTACACAAAATCTCAATAACAAGATTACTTTGCTATTTATAATATTTTGTCATGTATTTAAGTCATTTACAAAATATTTTATCTATTGCTCGATATAAATTGTAATTCTAGGTTGTCACGTGACTTTCACCTCGATGATTTACCCAATTAAAAGTATTTTATCTATCACTCGATATAAATTATAACTCAAGGTTGTCACGTGACTCTTTCACTTCGATGACTTAGCCAATTATACGTGTCATTAGGGACCCTAAAACTTTATTAGTAAGTCTAATCCCTCGTTAATACATATGCCTTTTTAAAAAAAAAAAAAAAAGTTTTGCTCTTCTCTCCACACGTTATGTGTATGCACGTTTAGTTTCTTGTCTCTTTTTTTTCATTTTCAAGGTTTGGTAGTTCGACTAATTTTATACACCTAATTAAGTGACTAGTAATATTGAAAGGGTTTTAAACTTTTAATATTATAATAAAGGCTTCTTGGATTTGACGTACAAGCCGTCCAACAAATTGATGAGTTGGTGATAAATGATAATTAAGGGATAACTTTTGTAAATAGAAAATCCTTATTAACTTTAATTTTCTTATTTAGATTGACAAATGGCAAGGAATTAAGTTAACTCTTCAACTAAACCATGATTATATTCTTCATTCAATTATACGACTATTATATGTCTTAGTTTTTTTGGTAGAATAGGTTGGTTATAACTAATCCAAGTTCTCTTTTTATGCTAATTCATTAGTTAAGTAGTTGTTAATATTTGATTTAAGGAGTCCTTATAAGTGGTTACAAGTATTTGATATAAACAACTCTTGATCTCTTACATTCATTTACCTAACGAAGTTTTAATTATTTTTTTGAGAATATGTATTGTTCCAACTACATTTATATTTGTGCTAATATATAGCATTTTTAATCCCTTTATATATTATTGATAATTTAATTTTAATTTTTATGATATTTTACTAAATATATTTAACTTAAAATATGACTTTTTGATCTTGTCGCTTGTGAATACTCACAATCATTAAGTATTATTAATGATTAATCCACAATTTAATCTTTAATTACCTATGCGTTGTATTAATTTTGTGTTGTTGCTCGTATTTGAGAATAATATACTTCTAAAAATGATTCAATTACAATAATTTTTTTACGTAAAGGAATCAAAAACACATATTTTAATTAATTAAAAATTAAATATATCAAATCATATATTATAAGGATCAAAATCAGAATTCGCCAATAAATGAAGGTCCGAAAATGCTATTATCCCTTTATATTTGGGGAGTCATACCATCCAATAAAAAATATCTTCTTGGTTAGATAGGCTATAATATTTTATACCTACTAATAATTGCACTAAACTATTGACAAGTCCAAAATACATAAAATAATATCTATAATATATAAATTTAATGAACTACATTAACAATCATAGTTTTCTTTGAGAAAAACCATCCCACCCACCCTTTCTAGTGGATATATATTACTCAAGGAACTTCTTTCCCTTTTAACTTTCTTTCTCTTCATATATTTTCTTCTTCTACCTTTTATATTTCCAATCCAAATTTATTCAAAGGGGAAATTAAAATGCTAGGAATGAACAAGTTTATTTCAATGAAGAAATTAGCCAAGAAGGCTAAGGCAATAACAAGTCCTACTCATGAATACTTTCTTATTAAGGACAACAAAAACAATGAAGAATGGTCACTAGCTAACCCTAATTCATCAATACCAATAGGGAATTTGGCCATCTATGTGGGGGAAGAACGAGAACGATTCATCGTTCCAACGAGCTATCTTTCTCATCCATTGTTCAAGATTTTGTTGGAGAAAACTTACAATGAGTTTGGGTTTGATCAAACAAATGGATTGGTGGTGCCATGCAGTGTTAATGCATTTCAAGAAGTGGTTAATGCTGTGGAATGTTGCAATGGGAAGTTTGATTTTGGTGAGTTGGTGGAGGAGTTTTTGTAGATATTGTTATATGAATAATAGCATAGGAAAATAGAATGTTTTTGTAACTTTTAAAATTGGATCACATTTTGAGTGCCATCATATAGAGTAGCATGATGTTTTTGAGCAGATGGTCTATCAGAAACAACCTTTCTATATTGGATATGTTATTATTGTTATTGTATAGCATGAAGAAATGATCTTAGAATTCATGAGCTAGAATAGGGAATTAATTATTTCAATGTTCAATTTTCTTGTACCATGAGATTTGGTAGGACAAGATTTTTGTGTAAATTGAGATTAGAATTTCCCAAAATAATAGCTATACCATTTGATATAACTGTTTGCTATTCTGCACAATTTCGCCATCTTTAATTTATATTCATTTTACTAGTCAAAATATGCAATCATATGCCATAGTTTTGCAATGCTCGAATTTTTGACAAATTATCAAACACAAATACTAATATTGCAATATGATCATTATATTAATCTAATTCAGGTTCGACAGAAGGTTTTCAAAAGTACATTTTGTTTAGGGAAGAATGTAGCTTGTATATTATAATAAGATTTTAGCCTTTTTAAAATTATTGGTTCCCTATTAGATGGATTTCTTGATTTTTTAAAGATAAATACAAAGTTTGGATCAAAATTACTAAAGTAATTGACTAAACATGTAACTTTTGTCTCTAGCTCCGTCTATGTATATTATTGTACCACAAGCAAGGTTTTGATTGAATAAAATATATGCTTACGTTATCTCTATTTTTATGGAGAAGAAATGTTGTTGCCACTATTATGTGTCGAATAAGATGAGAGAAGTATCAATTTTGGATCTTTAATTTAGTCAACAAATTGCAATGTAAATTTATAGTGACAACCAAGTGAATGAGAAATGTAACTTTCATATACAACCTTTGCCTATTCAAATTCAATAAGGCCGGCGGTATAGGAATGAAACTCTTTGTTACCCAAGATCAAGATGTTAGCAAATATTCAAAAGAATAAATTAATTCACTTCGTTATCATCAATACGTACATTAACATATACATTGTATATGCATTAGTCAATTAATTAAACATTATACACTTTAAATACTTTTCTTTTTGGTTTTCCACCTGGTGTCCGGGAAGCCCACATTGGAGCTCCGACTAAATTCGGATCGCGCTCTGTAGGGTCCATTCGGGGGGGTGGCGCTCCCAACTGGATTTCTCCATACCCAAGGCTCGAACCCACCCGAGACCTCTGGTTAAGGGTGAAGCACTCTCACCAGTGCATCACAACCCATGTTGGTACACTTTAATACTTTACTTACTAGCTAGGCTGCATATATGTTAGTTCTAGAGCAAACTTTAGTGTTTGATTCCATGCGCCGAATATGCCCCCATCAGGACCGGCCCCACACTCTTTGGGTGTATTTGGTTACGGATGGCGGACGGACATGTTATTTTGAAAAGTATTTTTCAATTTTTTCATGTTTGATTGACCCCAAAAAATAAAAAAATACAAATTTTGTAAGTTTAGATCCTAATTACGTGCTTTCACATCAAGGATACTCTTATATGTATCTTGGTGGATACATGTTTTCAAATATGTTGTATCCAAGCGTCATTCACATATATATGAGACACTGACAGCCTCATAGCTCACTCTCTTACTCGTCTCTCTTCTTGTGTATCTATATTTTCAGAATGTATCTGGTGTCAAAAATACGCTGATACATTCATCAGTGTACCCCTGCACACAGAGAGACAGCGAGCGAGAGAAAGAAAGAGAGAGCAAGGGGGAATTTGAAGGAGTGGTGTTTGATTTGAAATATGATACGAAATTCTTAATTGGTGAGACAATATGCAATTATTTCAAACCATAGAGTGGATTAAATTAGTATGTATGATAGATATATTTGTGTAGTTACATAGTTTCTCAACCGAAAAGGAAAAATTACTTAAATACACAACACTTCTTTACCTATTCTCAATATTTCCCTACTCTTTCATTAAAATACAAAAATCCCTTATTTTCCCCCAATTCAACTTAACCGGATACTTTATTAGTTTAAGTATCCGCCCGTTATTAATTAAAGTATCCGCGTTGATATATTATGCATCCGCCCGTTAATTAAGTATCTGTGCTGCTAACAACTTAATAATTTAAGTATCCGCCCGTTATTAATTAAAGTATCCGCGTTGATATATTATGCATCCGCCCGTTAATTAAGTATCTGTGCTGCTAACAACTTAATAATTTAAGTATCCGCCCGTTATTAATTAAAGTATCCGCGTTGATATATTATGCATCCGCCCGTTAATTAAGTATCTGTGCTGCTAACAACTTAATAATTTAAGTATCCGCCCGTTATTAATTAAAGTATCCGCACTGATATATTATGCATCCGCCCGTTAATTAAGTATCTGTGCTGCTAACAACTTAATAATTTAAGTATCCGCCCGTTTTAATTAAAGTATCCGCACTGCTATATTATGCATCCGCCCGTTAATTAAGTATCTGTGCTGCTAACAACTTAATAATTTAAGTATCCGCCCGTTTTAATTAAAGTATCCGCACTGCTATATTATGCATCCGCCCGTTAATTAAGTATCTGTGCTGCTAACAACTTAATAATTTAAGTATCCGCCCGTTTTAATTAAAGTATCCGCACTGCTATATTATGCATCCGCCCGTTAATTAAGTATCCGTGCTGCTAACAACTTAATAATTTAAGTATCCGCCCGTTTTAATTAAAGTATCCGCACTGCTATATTATGCATCCGCCCGTTAATTAAGTATCCGTGCTGCTAACAACTTAATAATTTAAGTATCCGCCCGTTTTAATTAAAGTATCCGCACTGCTATATTATGCATCCGCCCGTTAATTAAGTATCCGTGCTGCTAACAACTTAATAATTTAAGTATCCGCCCGTTATTAATTAAAGTATCCGCGCTGCTATATTAAGTATCCACACTGCTATATTATGTATCCGAAAAACACTAAAAATGGGATTTTTGGTAATTAATGAAAGAGTAGGGAAAGGAAGTAATTTCTTTCTTATACTATGTCATTTGCCTAATTTTTACAAAAAAAAAAGACTTACAAACTACCTTCTTTCGCAACTGGGCTTTTGTTCAAATACAAGCCCATGTTAGAATCCTTCCATGAAGAAGCCAGACCCGAACCGGACAACAAATCGAACATGACCCGGTAGATGACTTCATAAATTGGCAACCTCATCTGAAATTCCAAAATCATCTCAACCGTTTATCTTAATTCTAGCAAAATCAACGGTCAGATGATGATCAAGAGCGTCTTCCCAAAAAATTCAAATTCTCCTCTTCATCCCGCTCCCATTTTCAGATCTTCCCAAACTCAAACGGCTAATCTCTTTCTCTCTCTAACATTCTCTCTCTAAAAATCGACTCCTTTGAAAATGTCGAATCGCCATGAGAAGGAGAAAAGTGTAAACGTTCAAGTTCTGCTTCGTTGCAGGTACTAATTATTATCATTTCGTTTGTAATTTTCGTTAATTACTCATAAAATGCTTAATATTGATCATTTAAGACTCGATTGCTAATTAGTTTAAGTCCAAAAAAATGGATTAATTTTGTTGATTTGATGTATTATAGGCCGTTTAGTGAGGATGAAGTGCGGAATAATGCTCCGCAAGTGGTGACTTGCAATGAGTACCAAAAAGAGGTAGCTGTGTCACAGAATATTGCTGGGAAGCACATAGATAGGGTTTTTACATTTGATAAGGTAATTAGTGTTTGATTACAAAATGGTTTCATTTTTTGTTTGAAATCTAGTTAGTATACTGGAATCAATTTTGTTGTTCATTTGGTTATGCTTTTGCATTGATTTTGAATTGGTACTTGGAATTTGAAGGTCTTTCCTTTTACCCCTATTTGAACTAATGTTATTGGGTTTTTCGCTTTTGTGTTTGAACATAAACCTGAAAGAAGAAACCTTTGCCATAGACATTCTAAGTGTGATTATAGAACCTAAATCTACTTCCTTTGCTCTATTTAGGTTAGAAAATAAATATTGCTCTTGTATTTGAACATAGACCTGGAAGAAGAAAGCAATTTTTACACGAGAAGGGCTTTCCATGTTTCCATGAACAAAGAAATACTGCTCCATTTCGGTAAAAACTTACTCTCATAGGGTGCTTACACTAGATGCATGGCATGTGTTTGAATATATACGACTATCACTTAACCATGGTTAATTAATTTATAATTGCTTCATTAAAGCACTTAACCATGGTAAGTTCCATTGGTTTGGTCTAAACACCTGGTGGGAGTAAGTATTTACCCTTCATTTCTAATGTTCCTTTTTTGGTTGAAGAAGTGATGAAACTGCATATTTTAGTCTTAAAGAAGATTAAAGCGCTTGAGTACAACTAGACGGTAAAAGAAATAGATACCTTGATCCCTAGAGATTATCTGTGATTGTTTATCCTATCTTTATGTCTGCTCTCTCAAATTAAAACCAGATAACTGTGTTCAGCAACATGTCAGTCAGATCATTTAATTCATTCATTCTCTGAGCTGATGCATTGCTTTTTAGATTCTTCTTCCAGGTTTTCTTATTTACTTCATTGAGCATACCAATTAGTTGTCATTGAGTCCCAGGTTGATTTGGTTAAAGTAAATTGAGGGTTGGGATTCCTCCAGTGGGGAGATAAGCAATTGCTGGACTGTGACTCTGCTCCTGCAATGTTTCTCACTTGTAGCTCTTTTGTCATGCCAATGCCAGTCTTTGACATCACCATCCTCATTATAGATTGATCTTATGCACCTTTCTAAATTAAGAAAAGAACTACATCCTGTCCTCTCAAATCGATCATCTATTTCTTAATCAGACTGACGTTGGACTACAGTAACTATTGGTGAGATATCAACTTAACCAGAGTTCCTCACTCCCATATATTGTGTGTCACTTCTTATGTTAAAGAAAGGGAATACTACTGATATCTCATTGTTTTAATAGCATCCTTAATTTAGAGTGGATTTCTGGTTTTACTGCTTGTCTGAAATATTAGTGATTTTTGTTCTTGTTTACAACAGAAAAATAATATGATCCGACTTGTTTTATGTTCAGTGGTAGAGAATTCTCCTACCCCCATCCTTGGGGTGAGTTACCATTATCATTATTAAGTTGGATATCGCTCTTAGTGCTAAAATATGGAAATGCCCACCTAAGATACTCTTTAACACAAAGAATTATCGTGTGAAATTTCTGATCTAAACTGATGTAAGCACTTTAGCCATGAGATGTTCAATGCCAATATTTTGCTACAATTTGTCTTATGTTTTAAGTTATGGTCTTTTCATGCTTCTATCATGTTCTGATGACAAAAGAACTGCTTCTATCATGTTCTGTTCTGTTCAGGTTTTTGGCCCATCTGCTCAGCAAAGGGATCTTTATGATCAGGCAATTATCCCAATTGTGAATGAAGTTTTAGAGGGATTTAACTGTACTATTTTTGCTTATGGTCAAACTGGTACAGGTAAAACATACACCATGGAAGGTGAATGTAAGAGGTCTAAGGTACTAGCTGACAGGCCTTGTGCCTCAATCCCACTGTAGAAGCTTATGTAACGATTTTTGTTTCTAACCTGTGATTGCCTGATGTAACAGAGTGGGCATAACAGTGAACTTCCTCCAGGAGCAGGAGTTATACCTCGAGCAGTCAAGCAAATTTTTGATATGCTGGAGAGTCAAAATGCAGAATATAGTGTGAAAGTAACTTTCTTGGAGTTGTACAATGAAGAGATCACTGACTTGTTAGCCCCTGATGATTTATCAAAAGTTTCTGTAGAAGATAGGCAAAAGAAACAATTGCCACTTATGGAAGATGGAAAAGGTGGAGTATTAGTGAGAGGACTTGAAGAAGAAATTGTTACAAGTGCTAGTGAGATATTCGCCTTGCTTGAAAGGGGATCAGCAAAACGTCGGACTGCAGAAACCTTGCTGAATAAGCAATCAAGGTACTGATTTTTGTTTCTTTGTAGAATCCATCATTATTATTATGTTGCATTCAATATGTTAGAAGCAATGCTCTTTCCTTTTTTCAGTCGTTCACATTCTCTTTTCTCCATAACAATACACATCAAGGAAGCAAACACTGAAGGCGAAGAACTCATAAAATGTGGCAAGCTTAATTTAGTAGATTTGGCTGGTTCAGAAAATATTTCACGTTCTGGGGCTAGGGAGGTAATGTGTTTACTTATCTTGTACAAACTCTTTGCGAAGGTTGTTTCTTGATCTTGTTTGGTCAACCACACACAAATCATCTGTTCCTTCTCTCTTTATAGTGTAGGCACTGCTGTCTAAGTAGTTTTTCCTCTTATTTTTCCATTTTGTTGTACTTCAACTTCTTTAATCTGTGCCCTTATCCTCTGTCTCTTGTACCATTTGTCAGGGGCGTGCAAGGGAAGCTGGAGAAATAAACAAAAGTCTACTTACACTAGGGAGAGTAATTAGTGCTCTTGTTGAGCATCTTGGGCATGTCCCTTACAGGTAGTTACTAACTGCGATCATTTTTTCATTTGGTTTTTGCTCTGTGTGTTTCTAAGCCATTTCTTATGATGCTTACTATGAAATTTAGGGATAGCAAACTCACACGTTTGCTCCGTGATTCATTGGGAGGAAGAACAAAAACATGTATTATTGCCACAGTGTCACCTGCTGTTCACTGTCTGGAGGAGACCTTGAGTACGCTGGATTATGCCCACAGGGCAAAGAATATTAAGAATAAGCCTGAGGTAAAATGTAGAATGCATGAATAAGCAAACAGTTTCTTACATGACTCATCTCACGGTTCTCCACTCTTAATTATCTAAAAACAAGTCAATAATTCTTTGATTGCTGGTGCTGTTTGACATTCAAATGCAATATCAGTGTCCATCTACTGTTCACATGAATGATTTATTATGTATGTTGAATCTCCATGAGTATCTTCTGGATGTATATAACGTCATAGTGATTCATATTCTTGTTGCATTCCACTTGCCAGATGATTTATGTGTCATCTTATCAATCAATGTTTCTTCTGTCATCTCCAGCTGAACATTCCTCATTTTCTGGTTTAGTACAACAGCTTTAGGCAAGTATTGCTCGCCTTACTTCACCATATTTGTTTCGGAGTAGTTTTCAGATGAAATTCCTTTTTCGGAATGGAGCTGTTTTTCCTAAGTTGATTAAATTTTTTTGACCATGCCATTCTTCCTCTAATGAATAGAGATATCATTGTTGTTTGGGTTGAAACACAACCACTACATGACCTATACTTTAAGATGTTTCACATTCACTAGTATGTAACTACATAATGGATATGGATTATCAGGTTTTGACTTTTGCATAAAGATTTCAGATCTAATATGTAAAAATTGGCTACTTTTCTGATGTTCCCAAAGTACTTTGGTTAATTGAAGCAAATCGGTCAGTTTGCTTGAGTAATCAAAGTTTCAACATTTATCTGCTTAATCTCTAGCAGCTGACTGCTTTATATCTTTCATCCTCACCTTATCTGGTACTAATTTCCATATAACCTCATAGTGTTAATTAAATTTGAACCATGGAACTAATTATTTTGGTCGTCTGTTGTCTCTGTATCTTATTTCTTCGTTAAATCTGTAGGTGAATCAAAAAATGATGAAATCCACCCTCATCAAGGATCTGTATGGTGAAATTGACAGGCTTAAAGCAGGCGAGTACTTTTTTGTTCTAGCCAATTGTGGTGTGACACCCTCATCAGTTATCATTTTTCTTTTTGTAGAAACTGTTTAACATAATTGTTCATTTTTTTTTGTTCCATTTGTTCTTCCAGAGGTGTATGCTACACGTGAAAAGAATGGTGTGTACATACCAAAAGATCGATATTATCAGGAGGAGAATGAGAGAAAGGTAACACATCTTTGTTTTTGCCCACAATGTCTTGTTTACTGTCAATGTATGATAAAGGTTGTGCATCGTAGTTTTTGCCTATATTTCGTCTTGTTTGCTGTCTATTAGTGATTCTATTTATTGTTATAGTGTGTAATATATCTAAATTCACTGTATGTTAGCCTTATTGAGTAGTGGATTATATAGCTTCAATCAGTTTTTTGTATGAGTTTCTGGTATTGAATTATCGTCTCAGTCTCACTATACATTTGAAAGCAATTCTTACCTTTTCCATGTTTAGGCTATGACAGATCAAATTGAACAAATGGGAGTGACCTTAGAAAACCAGCTGAAGGTCTGCTTTCTGAAACTCTTGTTGTTGACACGTGTCTTATGTATTCCACTTGTGTAGTGTGAGTGATTTCGATTTTTGGTTTGTGAAAATCAGCAACTTGAGGAGTTGCAAAGTAGATATGATCACCAGGTTCATCAGTGCTCAGATTTGACATGTAAACTTGATGCTACACAGGTGAGTTTCTAGCCTTCTGTTCTAATATCATTTTTTAAAATCCTGTTCAAAAGCTCTTACTATTGATGCTTCTTGCAGAAACACTTGAACCAAACTACCTTCTTCTTGTCTAATGCTGAGGAAGAATTAAGACAAAGCAAGTACACCCTCAAGGAGCGGGATTTTATCATCTGCGAACAGAAAAAAGCTGGTAAAGTGGTCTGACCTTTGGTTTTGAATGTCACATAGACTTTGGTCTTTAATTTATGTTGATATTTACAGAAAATGCCCTTGCTCAGCAAGCATGTAGTTTACGGGCTCAGTTGGAGAAATCACTTAAAGACAACACTTCACTATTTCTGAAAATTGGTAAGGCATCTGATAGCAATCTGCAGAAATGATTTGTTGGGATCAGTTATTCTTTTCCTCTAATATTGTTTTTTGCAGACAGAGAAGACAAGCTGAGTGCCGATAATAGGTCGGTGGTGAACAACTTTCAAACTGACCTTGCAAAACAACTTGGTTTCCTTTCCAACTCGGTGGCAACATCAGTGTGTCGACAAAATGAACACCTCCAGTGTGTTGAGAAATTCTGTCACGACTTTCTTGAATCTCATGATAAGGTGATAACCAGTGGCAGACATTCCTTCTTTTATTTCCTTAATTATAAAATTTGTAGTTATTTGGTTTGTTTTACTTCTGATACTGGGCTTCGCATTTTTAATTTCATATTAGCTGAAAATCCAATTTTTCTGAACTGTTTGTGAGATAAAAAAAATTCTTGTAGGCTGTTGTAGATTTGAAGAGGAAAACTAGAGCTTCAAGGGCCCTGTATGTATCTCATTTAGAGGCCATGCAAAATGTGGTAAAACTGCATAAAGCTAGTTCTACTGCTGCTCTGGAGGAGATTTCTGCTTTGGCTTCTTCTAATTCAATTTCCATTAAAGAAGTATGGATTTGTTCCTTCTCTGTATGTGTTTCAGTCCATGTATGTTATAATGATCAATGCAGTTGCAGGATTGAACACTTCACTTTTCCCTTCCGTGATGCAGTTTTTTGATGCGGAAGATGTGGAAGCAAATTCCCTATTTGAAGAACTCCAGAGCACTCTCTCAACTCACCAAGGAGAAATGGCACTTTTTGCTGGCGAACTTCGTCAGGTTTCATTTGTTACTTTATCTCTAGGAGTAGTCTGCCTTTTATCTATTCTTTTAAGGTTTCTTTCATGTTTTTTTATTCTTAGATTTCTCATTGTGCAGAAATTTCACGATAGTACAGAGCATTTGGCAAATATCTCCGAGATCATTCAAGGATTTTTTGATAAGCTTGTGGAAGAATCAAAAAAACTTGAAAGACATGCGTCGACAGTTGATGAGATCCAGACGAAGTGTATTGCTGAATTTGAGGCGGCATATGAGGTATACATTTGAAAATTCTGCCTGTATAGATATTAGTTGTCCTTACTGTGACTGATGTTTGAGTTTGTTTCAGGAACAATCAAGAGCAGAAGCAGAGAAGCTTATTGCTGATATGACTACCATGGTCTCCAATCACCTGCATCGACAAAAAGAGCTGGTTCGTCTTTTTTAATCTTGTAATCATTAATGGTATATCTTCCTTTGGGTTCCTTATACTGTAGTTGACAGGTGGGTACACGCTTAGTTGATCTTAGAGAAACTGTTACTGGAAATAAGACATTCTTGGATGGACATGTATCCTCTATGGAGGGTATTACAACAGTTGCAAAAAGAAAATGGCAGGATTATTCTACGCAAGCAGGCAGTAGCACGAAAGAAAATGCTGATTTCTCAGCTGCTAAACATTGTCGGATGGAATTACTTATGCAGAAGTGGTAAGAATCCGACTTTGTTGTTGTTTTGAGTTTCAGCCTTTTATTTCATTTAAATATGCATCTGATCTCTATCGAATTTCTGTTCCCTAATATTGTCAGTTCATTGTTTTTGATTGGATCTCTATCATTTTGTTTTCTTTCTATTATTTTACCTTCACTTTTATTTCTGTATTTCTGTTACAATTCTTTTTTGTTTTTCATATCCAGTGTAAGCACTACTGAAACAGCTCATAAGCAGTGGCAAAGTACAAATGAATCAGTTAATGACATGGGTAGTCAACATGTCTTGACAATGCATTCAGTTGTCAGGTTAGTTTTTAATATGCTTTGGTACCTGATTTCATGATGCTGAATGTATTTATAAAATATAAACTTTAGCTGTTTCTTTGCGGAGAAACTTAAGGATTACATTGAATTTCCTTAATGGATTCCTTTATTTTTCTTTTGCTGGTGACAGGAATATGTGTGACAGTAATGAGCAACATGTAACTGAATTTGACTCTACAAAGGATGCTGCTGACGAAGTCGTAACAAGGAATAGTGAAGATGCCGTTCAATCTTTTGACAGTAAGTTTCCTATGCTCTCTGTCTCTTTTAAGTTTTATTTTCCTCTTTTTTGATTAGATTTGTCTACTAGTAATCTTTCTCTTGTCTTACCCAATGTGTTCTAAATATAATAGAGTTTGTGCATTTACTGAAGAAGCATTTTACAATACTAGCTACATCTGCTGGTTGCATAACTTTTCTTCTGGTTTAAATTCTAACCCAGGCTTGTCGGAGAAAGAGAGAGCATCTATATCTGGCATTTTGGATACTGCCAACACTCATTCAGAAACCATTGGAGTACTTGAGCACGATCACGCTAGTCAGTGTACTTCTATAGAACAGAAGGCCCTTGAAACTTTTCAGCAGAGATATATGGTATGTTGTTTATCATAATCCATTATAACTTTGAGTAGCTACCATGAGCATGGTGGTTTTTCTTCACCTGTCAGTGTTTTTTCCAAATGCAACAGAAAAGAAAAATGCTGCCATTTGCATCTTATATTACCTTTTAATTGACAAAATAAAACTCTGTATCATGCCTTTTCATGAGATGTCTTTTCCTTAATGACTCACAGGATTATGAGCCAACTGGATCAACACCAGTCAGGTCTGAGCCAGATGTTCCAAGCAAGGGGACTATTGAATCTTTGCGCACCATGCCAGTGGAATCCCTTCTAGAGGAGTTTCGGGAGAATAACACTTTCGAGTCATTTCAAGTAAAGGAAGTAAAGCCATCACTAGTCCCACGATCTCCTCTATCGCAAATTAACCATTAGCAGATTGGTTTCTTTCTTGTGTGTCATCCTCTGATCTGTATCTGTAATTTTTGTGTGTACTTGTACCACACTCAGGAAAAATACGTCTAATACTGTAACATAACATGTTGCTAGCTAATTCTGTCAAAGATAAATCCCTCCTTGGGATTTAGAAATGGTTGTAAATGAGGAAAGGCTTGATCATTGGTTTCCAGAATTTGATTTAGTGAGTGAGAGGAATCCCTTTATTTATTGTGACAATGGCTCTTTGCTACTCAGTAAGAGTGACAATTCCATTTTGTAACAGTTCTGTAATAACATTCAGAGCTTCAATACTATGTCAATAGATATGTTGTAACTTTCATTTATTCAATTTTTGCTGTGTAAATACTTTCTAAAGCACCTTTTTAATCTTTCACAGAAAAGTTGTGCAGATTCCTTTGCCTTAAGGCAATATTTGCATTATGTTTCTTGACATGGCAAAACATGGAAATTTGTTTATCAGATTGTTTTTACCTTAAAAAAATGGCAGGACTATACGTAATGCTCTCCCAACTCATTATGAAATATTTTCTTTATAGATAAAAATATTATTTATGATCTACTTTGCTAATATATTTTTAGTTAGTTTATAGTTTTTCAATGTTTTAGATATATTATTTCAAATTTGGACTTTATTTTGTATTAAGATCGGAAGTTATAATTATATTGTTATAGTTTTTCAAATTCGAAGTTAACAATTTACTTTGTAAATATTTTATTTTGTATTTAGTTTGACTGTAGTCTTTAATCTTATTAATTTCACATAATGAACGTTGATACTCCAATAAAAGTATTTTGGACACGTGTGAATTTTACCATCTTATTGAAGATTTCTATTCATTTAACATTTTTAAAGTTTAGCTTATCACACAGGTAAGTGAAAATATATTTGATCTCTTTTTCAAACACCATATAGTTGTAAAAAATCGAAAGAACCGACTAAAGCCGAAGTCGAAAAACCTGACTTTATGTGATTTGATTTAGTTTTTAGATTTAATAAACCGACATAATTAGTTTAGATTTATTTTAATGAAAAATCAAACCAAACCAACCTATGTACACCCCTAATGGAAACCCTCAGAAAGTTTTTTAAAGAAAAAATTCCAGAATGTCCTAAGACGCCAAATCTACGGGTTAATACACACGAAAACAAAAAAAGACGGGTAATTTTTAAAAGGTGGCTTGTAAATACAAAAGTATGACTTAGTAATGGTTGGACTACACGTAATGCTCCCTCAATTCATTATGGAGGTCTTCATAAAGTTTTTTCAGAAAAAATTTCAGGATGCCCCAAGACGCCAAATCCACAGTCTAATACAAACGAAAAACAAAGAAAATTGCGTAATTTCTAAAAATTGGCTCGTAAATGCGAAAATATGCCTTAAAAATGGTTGGACTATATGTAATGCTCCCACAACTCATTAAGGAGAATCTCATAAAATTTTCAGACAAAATTTTAAGGTGCTCAAGAAGCCAAATCCAATGGGCTAATACAAACGAACAAACGAAGAAAATCGCATAATTCCTAAAAGTTGACTCGTAAATGCAAAAAAATGCTTGAAAAATCGGGGGAACTGTACACAATGATTCCCCAACTCATTATGGAGGTACTCATAAAGTTTTTTCATAATTTTTTTGAGAACTCCAAGACGCCAGATCAATGGGCTAATACAAACGAACAAACGAAGAAAATCGCATAATTCCTAAAAGTTGACTCGTAAATGCAAAAAATGCTTGAAAAATCGGGGGAACTGTACACAATGATTCCCCAACTCATTATGGAGGTACTCATAAAGTTTTTTCATAATTTTTTTGAGAACTCCAAGACGCCAGATCAATGGGCTAATACACACGAAAATCAAAGAATGTCGCGCAATTCCTAATCGTTAGCTCATAAATGTGAAAGTATGCCTGAAAAAAATGGTGAGACTGTATGTAATGGTTCATCAGCTCATTACATAGGTCCTCGTAAAGTTTTTTCAGAAACTTTTTTTGGGTGCTCCGAGATGCTAGATCCATGACACACAAAAAACCAAGAAAGTCACTTAATTTCTAAAAGTTGACTCATAAATGCAAAAATATGCTTGAAAAAAAACATTGGGACTGTACGTAATGCTTTCCCAACTCATTACGGAGGTCCTCATAAATTTAATTTCAGAAAAATTTATTGGATGCTTTGAGGCGCCAAATCCTTTAGCTAGTACACACAAAAAATCAAGAAAGTCTCATAATTTCTAAAAGTTGGCTCGAAAATGCGAAAATATAGCTGAAAAAAATGGTGGGATTGAACATAATAGTTCCCCAACTCATTACAAGGGTCCTCATAAAATAAATTCAGAATTTTTTTTGGATGCTCTGAGGTGCCAGATGCATGGGCATAAGAAAAATCAAGGAATTTGGGTAATACCTAAAAAAGAGTCTATAAATGCAAAAATAGACTTTTTAAAATGGTGTGAGTATACGTGGTGGTTCCCCAACTCATTATGGAGATCCTCATAAAGTTTTTTCAGAAATATTTTTTGGGTGCTCAAGACTAACGATCCAAGGAATAATAAACACGAAAAATCGAGAAATTTGGATAATTCCTAAAAAAGGGCATGCAATGCGGAAATAAGGGTTAAAAAAATGGTGTGAGTATACGTGGTGGTTCTCCAACTCATTACAGAGGTCCTCATAAAGTTTTTTCAGAAAATTTTTTTGGGTACTGCAAGGAGCCAGATCCATAGGCTAATACACACGAAAAAATCGAGGAATTTAGGTAATTTCTATAAAAGGCTGTAAATACGAAAATAAGTGTTAAAAAAAATGGTGTTACTAAGTCTAAGAGTATTAAAGACACCAAAATAAATGAATAAAATAGTTTATGTCTGAAAACTAAGGACACCATGCCATGACCAAGAGAATCCAACACGACCTGGAATGAATAGCTCACCCTGAAACCTGATGTGCTGGAGACTGGCTAGAGTTGAGGGCGAGTCGAAGTCACTGATACACTCGCTGCACTCCACAAAAAGAAACAAAGAAAACACAAGTAGGGCTCAGTACAAGGCAACAAGTACTGAGTAGATATCATCGGCCAACCCAAAATATAAACTAATATGTAATGAATAATAGTATAAAATCAACTATGACACTTAGCAGGTGGCAATCAACAAACACATGAACTAGTGTCAACAACACTAAAGTAAGTACGTAATCAGTCAACAATATCAAGATCACACATGAGGACTCTTGCCTCCAAACCAAACTAATTTGGGAATTGAGTTCTTTGGGATTGAGTACATTAAGTTCATTCAATATAGTTTTCCTTTAATATTACCGTGTCTGAAAATGACACTTCGATCCAATTATATCGTGTTGGAACGTGACACTCCGATCCAATTATACCATTAATTTATCATTTATTATCACCACTTTTCAATTCATTAACAATATTTCATCAAGCCTTCTTTAATCAACGCATCACTTCGATAGAGAGGGTTCAAGATTATAAATTCCACGGTCTCAGGATTTCAGACCAATCACAAACCACACAACCAAGCTACA